ACGGCTGCGACCCTGACGCTGCCGACGACAACGTCGACGCTCTCGTCGCTGACGGCGGCGATTTCGTCCCGCCCCCCGCCGGCGGCCCCCCCCCCCGACGGCGGCGCTTGCGGCGGCGGCCCGAGCGCGGACTTAGGCCGCGCGAGGGCGACCGTGGAGACGAAAGGGCGGCCCCTGGGCGGTGAGCGCGGCCCTGGTGGCCATTTGGCGGCCCCTCCACCGACGGACGGCGGCTGTGCAGCTCGCGGCACCCCGACGCCGCCGGCGACCGCGGTTCTGGCCGCGCGACGGGCAACGTCGACGGCGGCGACGGGGCCACGGACGTCGACGCCGACTTCCTCCCGCCCCCCGCCCGCGGCCCTGCCCCCGACGGCGGAGGCGACGACGACGCTGTCCCGTCCCCTGGCGGCACCGGCGGCGGCCTTCCGGGCGGCGGCGGCGGCCCGGGCGGCGGCTCCTGCTCGAGTCGGGGCGGCGGCGGCCCCCGCGACGACGACCCCGCCCGCGACGAGCGCCCCGACGACGACGACAGCGACGACCTCGGCGCCCTTCCGCCCCCCGCCGGGCCTTCCCGCGGTGGCGGTTTCGGTGGTGCTGGTGGATGCACGCGCGCGCCTCGAGCAGGGAGTGAGGTCTCGCTTTGCCGCTCCGCCTCGGCCCTCACGGCGCCCTCGGCCTCCCCTGGGAGCTGCTTCCTCCTGCCGGGGCCGGCGGAGGGACCGCCGAATCCCACCAGCCCTCTGGGCGTAGGTGGTCTAGAGCAGATCCTCTTCCACCCCTCCCTCTTCCCCCTTGGGGAGGGGTTTACCCCTCCCCCTACCCCCTCCCCTGGACCTGGACGGGGGGGGCCGCGGGTAGTTAGAGCGTCCAAGATGGCCCAAGACGGCTCCAAGAGCGCCTCAGAGAACCCAAGATGAGCTCCAAGATGGCTCAAGATAGCGCAAGATCGCTCACGATGGCTCCTAAGATGGTTCCAAGAAGCCCAAAGACGGCCCCAAGATAACTCCAAGTGGCCAAACAGCTCCCCAAGGAGGCCCCGAAGAGGCCAAAATCGTCCCAAAACCTAAGGAAAATCAATGATTTTTGCTTTCTCGCCTTTTCGCTTCCGATGGCCATCCGAGGCCTGGAGATGGCTCCAAGATGGCCCAAGAGGGCCCCAAGAGAGCCCCAAAAGAGCCCCAAGACGGCCCCAAGAGCGCCCAAGAGCACTCCAAGAGCGTTCCAAGAGGGGTCCAAGAGGCGATTTTAGGGGCTTCCGAGGGGGGACGCTAATTAAACCCCCCCTCTTGTTTGATCGACTCCCTCCAAGATGGCCCCAAAAGCGCCCCGAAGGCTCCCCAGAGCGCCTCAAGAGGGTCCCAAGAGGCGCCCAAGATGCCCCAAGGCGCCCAAAAAGCCCTCCAAGAGGCCCTCAAAAGACCCCCAAGAAGCTCCTTCCCCTCCTCCTCCTCCTCCTCCGATTCTTCCTCCTTCTCCGTCCTCCTCCTCCTCCTCCTCCTCCTCCTCTTCCCCCTCCTCCTCCTCCTCCTCCGACGACGACGACGACGACGACGACTCCTCTTCCATCCTCCCCCTCTCGGGGTCTGTGACAGCTTCCCCCGCCCTTTGTTATTCTGCATGCTCCCCGACTTCCCTGATCACCTCAACTCCCCTGAGCATCGTTTCTGGATGGGCTGGTGGGGATACGCGAAGCGTCAACAATTGTCCTCTCTTTTTTTTCCAGCGGCCAGGACAGGACTATGGCATCCTGCCGCTGCGCAACCGGCGCGGGGCCTCGGGGGCGCTCGCGGGGCCATCTTCAAGGGCATAAGAAACGCCCCTACCCTGGTTTACGAAGCGCAACTCTTGTGGGCTGTCGTAAACCCTGCGTGATGTGCGGCGTCCTGGCGGTTCTCTAGGCTTTGGGGGTTCCCAGGAGGTTTACAGACCACGCACTTGTAACCCAGGGCAGGGTCGTTTCATCCCTCAACATCTTGGAGGAGATCATTCAAAAAAAGGGGGAGCTCTAGTTACGACCCTTTCCCCTCAGGAGCCCCAAACATCGCGGACCCCTTTGGAAGCGCTCCTGGGCGCTCTTGAGGCCGTCTTGGGGCTCCTTTGGGCTTTTTCCCTACCTAGGCTCTGCCCAGAGGATTCTTACTCTAGTAGCTTAAAGGGGCCAGGCAGTGGGCTTCGCCCCGGGCGGTTCCCCCGGTCCCCGCCCCGCGGTTCCCCCAATTGCGCCCCCTTACCTTAGCTTTGCGTATCTCATCTTAGCTTAGCTTAGCTTAGCTTCATCTTAGCTTTATCTTAGCTTCGCTTAGCTGTTACTTAGCTTAGATTAGCTTAGCTTAGCTTAATTGAGCATATCGTAGCATCGCCCAGCATAGCATAGCATAACGCAGCATAATATAGCATAACATAGCATAGCATAACATAGCATAGCATAGCATAGCGCAGCATAGCACAGCATAGCATAGCATAGCGCAGCAAAGCATAGCATACCATAGCCTAGCATAACATAACGCAGCCTAGCGTAGCATAGCATAGCGCAGCATAGCGCAGCATAACACAGTATAGCATAGCATAGTGCAGCATAGCATAGCATAGCATAGCATATCATAGCATAGCATAGCATAGCATAGCAGCAAAGCAAAGGCAATGCAACAACAGCAACAGCAAAGCAAACCACAAGCAACGCAAAGCATAGCAAACGCAAAGCAAAGGAAAGGCACAAAAAAGCAATGTGCAACAGTACGATCAGAGAGCCCACCCGGTGAGCGAATGCAAAAACATGCGTGTGTGTGTGCGAAGGCAAAGCAAAAGCAAAATCAAGCAAAAGCAAAAACAAGCAAAAGCAAAGGCAACTACGACGATGAGGAGAAGGAGGAGGACGGCGTTTACCGTTGTTACTAATGCTGGTTTCCTAGGGGCTCCAACTCCTAGGTAGGGTCGCACTGGGGTAATCTTGGGACTCATGGGGCCCCCCCTTGGAGCTGTCCTGAGGCCTCGGAAGGCCATCGAAAGCAAAAAGGCGAGAAGGTTAAATTCATTGATTGTCCGTAGGTGTTTGAAGGATTTGGCCTCTTGGCGGCTTCCTGGGAAGGTTCCATGGCCACTTGGAGCCGTCTTAGAACGGTCTTGAGGCCTCTTGGAGCATTTTGGGAGCCATCTGGAGCAATCAGGGGCTATCTTGAGCCATCTTGAAGGTCATCTTGGGCTCTCTGAGGCCCTCTTGGAGCCATGTTGGGCCATCTTCGACGCTCCAACGCCTCGCGGAACTCCCCTCCAGGTCCAGCGGAGGGGGTAGGGGGAGGGGGAAACCCCTTCCCCGAAGGGGAAGAAGGGGGTTAGAAGAGAAAGCTTTCTAGACCACCTGCGCCCTGAAGGGTTGGTGGGAGTTTGTAACGGTCTTGGGCATTTTCGTGCATCATATCGTGTCGCCGTCGTATTCGATGTCGCCGTGGCCATCGTCGTCCAGCACCCCTGACGTCTGGCGTCTCGACAAACATCCAAAAGGCAGTTTTTGGGGCATCCTGGGACTTGGGAGGCGGGTTTCGAGCTCCAGGACCGTCAACGCGGTTCGGGATGAAAAGCAGGCTCCCAGGGAAGGGATCGAGAGAGCAAAGCGGGGCCAGAATCATGCCTCAGCAGAGCTGGGCCGCCCGGTGCCTGTGCCTCCTTCCACCTTCTGCTGCAGTGCCGCTGCTGCACCTCCTTCGCCCTCCGCCCGCAGCGATCTGGGCGTAGGTGGAGCGCGGCCTGGCGCCGCGCAGGGTGCGCTGCCGCGGCCGCCTGCCGCCGCTCGGCGCGCCGCACCATGTGGCGCTCGGCGGCCGGAGCTGCGGCGGCGGCCGCGGTGGCCGCGGCGGCGGTGCTGGTGCAGCTGTGGGTCGCGGGGCCCCGGCCGCTGGAGGGCCTGGTCGGGGCATCTGCGGAGAGGCTATTCGGGCTCCTGGACACCGAGGCGGTGTGCTTCGTGCTGCCCGCGGCGTACTTCCGCCTCACGGTGCCCCTGGGCGCCTCGGAGCGCAGGGGCGCCCGCGCGGCCTGCGCCCTCGTGGTCGCGGCCGCGGCGAGCGCCGAGCTCTGGCTGCGGCGGCTCGGGCGCGCGCAGGCCGGCGAGCTGCTGCTCGGCACGATGGCGGCCACGTACGTCTTCGCCTCTGGCCTGGCGAGGGGCCGCCTGGCGTCCGCCGCAGCGGCCGGCGCGGCCGGAGGCGCAGTGGCCCTCGCCGTCGCGCGCGGGCTGGTGCCCCTGGCGTGCACGGGGGCGCTCGGCCTGGGCGCGGCGTGTCTCGGCGACGTGCTGGGCGCCCGGGTCGCGGCGCTCGCGTGGCGCGGGCCGCTGCGGTGGGGCGCCCTGGGTGCCGTGCTGGTCGCGGGGGCCGCCCTGGCGCCGCCGCTGGTGGAGCGGGCGGCGCGAGTCCTGCTGCCGCTGGACGAGCTGGCCGAGGTGTACCACCTGGTCGAGGAGTTTAGCTGGAAGACGCGAAAATGGCACGGGCGTCGGAGGTGGACATAGACCTCCTACCCTGACACGTGGATTAAGGAATTGGCCGTTTTCGGTTCGCGAGAGGGCGTCGCGGCCGTTACTTCTGCGGGTCCAGGTCCGTCGGTTGCGGTCCCAGGCCGTTTTCACTAAGGGGAGGTTTACTACAGGGAGGTTTGTCCACCGCCGAGGGCGTGAACTTTCGGAGGTCCGCGCGCCTGTAGTGGATGCGTGGAGAGGGGGCCCCAGCGCCGACCCAACGAGTCCGCGCGGACTTCCGAATGTTTCTGATCGTGCATATGTTGTGTCGTCTTCTATGATCGGGGCGGAGAAGCTGTGGGCCATGAGCTCGGACGTGCTGGTGGCCATGGCCCTCTGCCAGGTCTCGCTTGGCTACCTGGGCGTCGCCTTCATCCGTGCGGGGCAGGGCCGCAAGAACGCCCTTCTGGAGGTCGGGCGGGGCCGACAGAGCGCCCGGGGCTATACTCAGCTCGTCCTCGTCTATGTTGCAACCGCGACCGTGCCCTACATGGTGCAGCGAGTCGTCGTCGAGAACGTGATAGGGCATATAACGGGTCGGTACGCGCGCAAGTTGGAGAGAGAATTCCGGATAAACAGCTACTTCCCGCAGTCGGTCACGGGCACCGGGAGCACCTTGTTGGGCGCGGTGCACGGGTCGAAGTACACGGTGGAGAGCTACGCGCATGCGTTCAATGGATTGGTAGGCACGTGCTCCAATGTCATCGAGGGAAAGCTGTTTCGCTTGCCCAAGCTGCTGCTCTTGCCCGGGATGCTAATGAACCAGCCCTGGCTGGTCGTCACCGTTCTCCCCGCCAGTGTATTCCTGGACGTGGGCCGTACCAAGGTGGTGGGAAGTATGACCAAGCGCATTGAGAAGATGTCCAAAGAGGTCCAGGAGTTGGCGAGCAGGCGGCAGAAGATGGAGCAGCACGACACCAAGCACGAAGAGTTGATACGCCGCGGTAGCTCCAGTGGGTTCGCGGAGGGCCAGTGGCGCGAGATTGCGATGGAGATAGAGGGGAAAGCCCTACGAACACAGGCACTCAAGTCGCTGCGGGATTTCATCAACCACCTGTACCACAAGGACGCCCTGGATCCTGGCTTCGAGGTGGTGATCTCGTGGCTTCTGCAGTTCGGTCACATCACGGTGACCGACATCTTCCTGTATTTGAGGGTGGTGCAGGACGCGGTCGGCTTGGTCCTCCTCCTCCTCCTCCGCCTCCTCCTCCGCCTCCTCTTCCGCCGTTCGCCGTCCGCTACCGCCCTCCTCTCTCTGTCTCTCTGCCGTTATCCTTCTCCTCCTACCTCCTACCTACCTCCCTTCCTCTCTACCTCCCCTTCCCTCCTTTCCTCTCCTCCCTCCTCCCTCCCCCTCTCGCTTGTCAATCTTCTCACCTCGCCGCCTCCGCCGTTGCCGCCGCCATCGCCGCCGTCGCCGCCGCCGCTGCTGTCGATGTAGCGCTGGCGGCGCAGGATCTGCAGAAGGCGACGACTTCAAAAACCACCGTATCTGTCCAGGGCCATCCTGGGCCCTAGGACGGTGCACACCGTACCAGGGCTCAGGATGGCCTTGGCCAGGCACGGTGATGGTACATAGCCTTTCTGCCTGCAGGACGCGATCGCCGTCCCCGACTGACGCCGCCGTCGTTGACGTCGCACAGCCAAAGTCTCCTCAAAATCAATCCCTGGACTCCTCGTGAAGTCCATCCTCGCGATTTTTTCTCGGGCCGCGCCCAGCCGTGGTGACGAGGGTCTCCAGCAGCGCCCGGGAGCCTCCGAAACGACGACGTCCCTCCCTTGCCGCCAGCCCAGGACGCGATCGACCTGCTGCTGACCCGCTTCCGCATGGACGCGCGCCTGGCCAGCATGCGCACCGAGGTCGACCGCGTGCGGGACCTGCTGGGCCGCCTGGCGGCCGTGCGGGAACGCGGCCGCGCTGCGTGCGACGTCAGGCCCGAGGGCGGCGAGGGGCACATCGGCGGCCTGCGGTGCCCAGGGGCCTCAGGCCCGCATCCTTCGCGATGGGGCTGTTTCCCCATAGCAGTTTTCAACAGAGGCAAACCTGACGATTGCCTTCTGGGGTGTAGCCAGATGGGCGTCGAGTTGGCGCAGTCCATACTGATGAGCGTCGGATTGACGCGGGCCAAACCGATAAGCGTCCAATCGGCACTGGCCATGAACCAGATGAGCGTCGAAGCGTCGCGCCTGTGCTGCCCAGTGACTTGTTGAATGTGCAGATTGCCTCGCTGGAGCCCTGCATGATCCGTCCAACGCCCGGCGAGGCAGCCGAGGCCCTCGAAAGCGTCGGCTGCGCGTAAGAGCGTCCCTTCGCCAGAGTGACCTTTGGGTGCGGGCCCAATGGTGTCCCCCGATCGCCGAACGCGATGCGGCAGCAGCGCCTTGCGCGCTCATGGCTGGTCCCCCCGCGGCCTCTTGCGTGTCGCCGAGAGCGGTGGCCCACCGTGGCCTTCCGCCCATCGTGCCCCCCCCCCCCCCCATCGCGGGCTGTGCAGAGCCACGCAGGGCCTTCTGCCGCAGGGACGCCGCTCCGTTGCCGGATGTCCGGGGGGGGGGGGAGCCTCGGGGCCCGCCCGAGCCCGTTCGGCGCCCGAGCCGCTTCGGCCGGCGAGCCCGGCGCCGCCCTGATGGAGGTTGAGCCCGCTCGGCCGCCCGCTCGGCGGCCGAGAGCGCTCCAGGCGCCCCGACGGGCTGGCAGAGTGGGCGGGCTCCGGGCTTCTCTGGAGGTCCCCACCGTGCCCTGCCTCTCTCCGCTCCGCCTCTGGTCACGTCGTCGACGATGCTCGTTCGAGGCGGCACCGTCGGCACTTGGGCCCGAAGGGCCCCTGGAGGGCGAAAGGCGTAGCCTCTCGCCCTCCAGGGGCGAGAGGCTATTCTCCTTATTATTCTTCTTCTTTTTCTTTTTCTTCTTCTCCTTTTTCTTCTTCGGCTTCTTTTCGCTTGGGGCTCGATCCGAAACAATGGCTCAGAAGGCATCCCTGGACAACTGTTGGCGAGAATCGAGGATTGAGGTGCTTCTTGTTTGGGCGGCGGGGGGGTTCTGGAGGCAACCGCACGGACCTCTGGGAGGGACCTCCAGAGTGATCCGAGGACCTCTGGGCACGAGGCCGACACCAACGGAACGAAATTTCCGATCCTGGCCAGGCCCACCGAGAGCCCTGGATGGGTGTGCATGCCCTCCGGGCCAGGGCCAGGAGGGCCTATGCACCACTAGGATGGCCCTGCACAGGGTCTATGCACCACCAGGAGGGCCAGGAGGGTCTATGCACCTGGCCGGGACGGCCTACGCGCGTGTTCCGACTTCCTGGCCCAGGATAACAGAGGCGACGATAGGGGCGAATAGCCCAGGGGAGAGCAATACATGTATCCAGGGGCGCCGATGATTTATGTCTTCGACAAGGCTCCCGGGGGAAAACGTGTAATGCCCGCCCCTGGGCTATTCGCCCTTATCGTCGCCGCCGAGGATAGACCTGGCCAGGACCGGTGCCGGTTCATGAGGTACGCGCGCGGCAACACTGTCGTCAGCATCCCGGACCTCGTTTTGCGCTCCGGCCGCGTGTACGCGGTGACGGGGGCCAACGGATGCGGCAAGAGCAGTTTCTTCGGCATCCTGGCCAGCTGCGGCCGCCTCGCCGCCGTCTTGCCCAGCGGCCTTGAGATCCAAGAGCTCGGTGGGCTGGTGCTCGGGAGGGGCCAGAGGGACGACACGGGCAGAACTCCTGTTCCGATGCGGCCCGGCTCGGTGCACGGAGGAGTGGGGGGAAGGCGGAGGAGGAGGAGGAGCTTCAGGAAGGTTTCAGTTATGGAGGCAGTGGCTCGCTCATCGGGGCGCCCCAGGGCGAGACGATTGGAGGCAGTGGCCCGCTCATCGGAGCTCCCCAGTGATATTGCTTTGGTGGGACCGGGCCCGAGTTGGAACGTGAGGCCGTTGATTGGGGTGAGGACCCAGAACGACAGCGAGCGCACAGCTCCGAGGACGGGCTACAAAGGACGCTGAAGAGGTACGTCCAGCAATGGGTAGGCGATCTTTCGAATGGTATCATCGATCCAGACGCTGGGCGTGACTGGCTGTAGTGGCATTTTCTTGTTCTACGGCAGAGCAACTTTCGCTCCCAATCGTTGCGCCGGGATGGTGACACGCCAGCTAAAGCAAGGAGATGGCAAAGAGCGTGGGGATTCGGTGAGGCTGCATTTGTGTCCGTAGCAAAGATACGTGAATACAGCATCGCAACAGATCGTGGCGCGAAGACTTACAACATTGAGCCGAGGAGGTGCTCAACCTCAACCAAGCCTTCGACATACAGAGAACTTGGATGAACAACGAATCGGGCCCCAAAAGGGGAGGCCCTCGCCATCTCCGTGGCCATTTTGGCTCAAGTTGAAACCGTCACCCCGCGGCTTCAGCTTGAAACATAGCCAAGGGGCTGGCCCAAGGAAGTGGCCAGTCGACTGAAGACATGTTTTGGATTGGCCTTTTGCCAATCCTTTCTCCACCATCACGCGCACCACTCCAGTCTGTCCGAAGTTTGCTGCCATGCCGCAGAGGGGTTCGAAGAAGACTGATTGTTCAGGGCCGCCGCTCAAGGAACCGAGGTGGTCTATCATCGCCAAATCTCACTCCCCACCGTTCGATGACCCGTGGCAGCCCGTCCAGGTATGTCATCAGCTCCTCGAGGATACGCGCGGCGCTAAGGTGATAGCCGCGTTTTGAAAGCGGCCTGCCCTCGGTCTTTGAGACTGTTGCAATGCTTGAAATGAATGTGCGCAACGCTATGGCGAAAACCACATTTTGAAAGCGGTTTGCCCTCGATGTGTGAAACTCCTACATTTGAAACGAATGTGCGCGGCGCTGTGGCGAGAGCCACATTTTGAAAGCGACCCGCCCTCCATTCATGGAACGGTTAAAACATTCGAAGTTTCAGGATCACAATTGGTGGGGAAGTCCCCGACGAAACGCACCGTTCGCCCTGTGGACCGGTCTCGGGGTGCGACAGGGAAGCGTTATCTATGAGGAAAACGGGTGGAGGAGGAGGAGGAGGAGGAAAAGGAAGAGGGGGGAGGGGGAGAAGGAGGAGGAGGAGGCGGAATAGAAGTCTGTGTGCCAGTAACTAGATATGACGGGCTTCATACAAGCGGCCCACGTTGTGTAGAGCCCATTGATGTTTGATCTATAGTGCACGTGTTAAGCGGGTTGCGCAGGCCTGGAGATTTGCAGCATTTTTTTTGTTTTTTTTGTTCCACAAGATGGGCCTAAAGACTGGCCCAGTTGCAGTGCTCCCTATAGATAAAACAGATGACCCCGTGGACGGCGACCTGAGGCCGGTCGAAGCAAGAGAAAAGTTTCCAGCTTTGTTGTTCCAAGGCCGTGCTCGAGGGGCTACGGTTGGACCACCCTGCGAGACATGGTCTGATGCTCGATATGTGGATGCCCCCGAAGTCCCGACATCCGGGACGCTCCGCTCTCAACTGCACCTATGGGGGCGTCCGCTCGCCACCTCCAGAGAATGGCGCCAGATCGCTACAACGAATGATCGCGATCGAGCAGCTCTTTATTTCATGTATGTTTGTCTTTGCACGGGTGTGAGTGGTGTGCTGGAACATGTAGCGTGCCCGTCAAATTCAGAGGCCTCGAGCTCGTGGTTTCTGAAGGAAACCCGACACCTTAGAGAGCTTGTAGCCCGTGTTTTTGCTTGCGTTCAAAATTTGTATGGCTCGCAATCGACGAAGCCAACACTGCTTCTGGCGGTCAACATTCCCAGTCTCGGTTGTGAATTGCTACAGATGCCGCGACGAGGGCGATGCTGCCATCCGTTGGGTCATAAGGTGTTCGGAGGAATGACAGATGGTCGCTGGAATTCACAGCAGGCCAAGCAGTACCCCGAGGAATTGTGCACCTTTCTTGCGAGGCGCGTTGCATTGCAATGTCGTCAGAAGCATGAGGAGAGGGTGAGGTCTGCGTTGCCGACATGTCTGGTGTGACCCTCCACTTCCCCTTCGATCCTGACCTGGAGAGATTATTCTGTACCCTGGACCCGTGCCTCGACGCGCACCAGATCGGTGAGTACGGCCAGGACTTCTGCGGCAGTATGCGCAGCTTGCGGATCATCCCCTTATGGCCATGGAACAGAACAGGAAGAGGCGGAGGAGGAGGAGGCAGAGGAGGGAGGAGGGAGGACGAAGAGTCCCCATCCGATCCCATGACTCGATGGTGGCAGCTCCTGCGGCCTGGGCGTTGCCCGAGGTGCCGCCGCACTGCGTTCGGGGGGGGGGGGGCAGCCCACGCCAAGCCAGCGGCGGCCCCGCGCCCGGCCGACGCGACGGCGGGTCGCAAGGGTTCGAGATCGAGCGCCGCTGTTCGAGGCCGGTAGTTACTGCAGGTTCGCGTCGCGTCGACCGGCGGCGACCCCGCCTTGAATGTTCAAGGCTGAAAGCCGGAAGTGGCCCAGAATCGGCCTACATGGAAGGATCGGGCAATCGAAACGCCGCCGATCAGTCGGGGTTGAACGATCCAGGTAGTGTTAGAAAGCAACGCCGGGGTCGTCACCACACGAACCTGCCGCATGCGTATCCACCGCCTGGGAACCCGATCTTCCTGGACGTTCGCGGGCGGTGGTGGGTATGGATATGTTTGGGCGTTATGGGGCCCACACGTGTTCATACCCACCGCCCCCTGGGGTCCCAGGACCTCGGTTCCCAGGCGGTGAGCATGGACAAGTTCCCGCCTCGCACGCGGTGGGTCTGGAGTCGGCCGATGTACAGCGAGCTGTACGGTGCAAAAGCCGCCGTCGCCGAAAATGGAAAGATCCGCTCGGTGTCAATGCCCGGGTCGTCGCGACACGAGCCTGCCGCATGTTTGTGCCGCCTCTTGCCTTTCCTGGCGTTTATTAAATTACGAAACCCCGGTCGGTGGATTCCTCAATTAGTCGCAGATGCCTCGATCCCGCCCTGGTCCCTACAGTCTAGAGTCCGTTTCTTTATTGCTGGGGGTATGACGGGCGTCATGGCCCCCGCTCCCCCCCCTATGACGTAACGTTCCCCCCCCCATGCGCTCGGGGCACTGCCGCCGTGCGCTTTGGGATCCGCGCAGGTGTCCGCGTAGGAATCCATATAGGAGTCTGGTCCGCAGTCGTCGTCGTCGTCGTCGCTCGTGGCTCGTGGCTCGTCGCTCATCGTCGTCGTGCGCGCGGACGCGGCTGGAGCCTGTTTTTTATTCCGGGCCGATGACGGCAATCATTTGGGGGGGTGGAGGGGGTCGATGACGTCATGTTTCGCGCCGGCGGCGTTCGGGAATTCTTAGGCATGACGGAAGACGGGTAGCGCCAACATGTGGGTGAGGATCTGCACCGTAACGCCTGTGTACACCACGTTGCCTGCGTGCACCACAGCGCTTGTGTACACCTCACCGCCTACGTACACCACAGCAACCGCGTGCAACACAGCGTCAGTTTGTGCCACCGTGCCTGCGGGCACGACACCTCTTGTGTACACCACAGCGCTTGCGTACACCACATCAGCCGTGTGCAACACATCATCCGTGTACACCACAATGTCTGCGTGCGTTGCAGTGCTTATGTGCACCACAGCGCTTGTGTGCACCACAGCAACCGTGTGCAACACAGCACCACTGTTGTACATAGAATGTTAGAAGGAATCCTTATGACAAAGTGGAGCGTTTGTGGATTCCACAGCAAACAATACAAAGGAATCGTGATGGACAAAGGAGCGCCGCTGGAATCTAGGAGTCCTTCTGGGTCCGCCAACATCACCCTATTCCTCCCATCTGCGTCCAGGAGGCTTCGGCTAAATTGGCCGTCCGAGAACCAAGTGGACCGATTCAATGGACCATTCTGCGATGCACGCTGAGATGCGCACGTGCGGTGTAGTGAGTGCCAACCCGCACGACGGGGGGTGAAGTGAGGAGGAGGAGGAGGCGGAGGTGGAGTAGGAGAGAGGAAGGAAGAACGTCGCATTCGATTATCAGCTGCTTCCTGGCGTGGCGCTCAGTTTTCCGCAGCAGATTCTCACGCACATGCTCCTATCTGTCTACTGCACGCAGGCACCGTGGTGCACACAAGCGCTGCGTTGCATGCGGATGCTGCGGTGTAGACAGGCGCAGTGGCGTGCACAGGCGCTGCGGTGCACGCGAGCATTGTGGTGTACACGGGCGCTGTGTTGCACATGTACACATGTGCACCATCGCTGTAGTGTACGCAAGTACTGTGGTGTACACAGGCGCTGCGTTGCACACGGTTGTTCCAGTGTACGCATGCGCTGTGGTGTACACGCGTGCTGTGGTGCACGCGATCGTTGCGGTGCACACAGGCGCAGTGGGGCAGATCGCCACCTACATGTTGCTCGCGTCGTCGTCGTCGTCGTCGTCGTCGTCGTCGTCTGTCGTCGCGTCGTGCGCGCGGGCGCGGCTGTGGTGCGGGAGTCACACGGCGGGGGGGGGAGGCGTTACGTCATACCCCCCCTGCCCCCTGCCCCACCCCATGACGCCCGTCATCGCCGAACATAAAGAAACGCGCTACTAGTTCGAATACACGTTGTGGCCCATTCTAGTTCAAATATGTTCATGCTCTTTCTCTTTTCGTCTTCCCCTTTCTTTTCTACAGAGACATACGCATACATATATATATATATATATATATATATATACTTTATATGTTGTATGCTTTCTTCTCTGTGCACTTTCTCTGTATGTCTTTCTCTTTCTCTCTCTTTATGTCTCTATTTATCTATATGTGCATATATCTCTCTGTCTCTCTACTCCGTCTCTCTCATGCTTTTTTCTTGATCATAGGTGTTTGGTTCTCTCTCTCTCTCTCTTTCCCTTCTCTCTCTCTCTACATATAGCGGAGGTTCGGGGGTGAGATCGCAGTGAAACGAAGACCCCCCACGGAGAAATCGGTTTCGGTTTCGTGTTCGTGTCGTGCGTCCGGGCGAGGCGAAGTTGCGTGGGGGACGAGAGGAATCAACCCGCCGTTGCCAGGGCGAGGCCGAGCCAAACTTTGCTGTCCCCTGGGTTGGCCGGCAGTGGCCTCGTGATTTCCCCCGATGGTGTCCCAATGGTGTCCCATGGTGTCCCGTGGTGTCCCGTGGAGTCCCGTGGCGCGGAGGTGTCCCGTGCTATGCTATATGTAATGTGATGTTGCTATGTTATGCTAGCGATAGTGAGATCGATCGTGAGATCCATTGCGTGAGATCGATCGTGAGGTCGATTGAGTGAGATCGTCAGCGAGATCGATAGACAGATCGATAGTGAGATCGATAGTGATATCGATTGAGTGAGATCGATCAGGAGCCCTGGAAGACGGGAACCAGAAAATGAAGCGCTGGGAACTCCGCCACCCACCGAAATCGGTCTAGAACCACCAACCCGGGAGCCAGGAACCCGGAAACGGGAGCCCAGGAACTTGGCCGCCCACCGAGACCAATCCGGAACCCAGAAACGGGAACCAAGAGCCCAGGACCAGGAACCCGGGAACCCGGCCGCCCACCGAAATTGGCTACCAACATTCGCCGTTAGGGCTTCTACAGTGCAAGCACTGCTTGGGGAACAGTCTCTTCGGCGTTTGCGGAGCCCTGTCCCCATATTCGATTTCCCTCATTGAGTGCGCTCGCCAAAGACTGAAGGGGTTCGCTCGTAGGGATAGATATTATGAGGCGGGTCTTTCTTTCCTGACAATAGGTGCTGCCCTCCGACGACGTCGTCGAGATCACCCAGCAGCTGTACTGCCCGCTCCACGTCAGGCCTCAAGGGCGGGAAACATGTTCCTCTTCCTCCTCCTCCTCCTCCTCCTCCTCCTCCTCCTCCTCCTGGTTCCTCCTCCTCGTTCTCGTCCTGCTTCTCGGCTTTCCGCCTCCGCGTTCTCCTCTTGCAGCACCTCTGTGTCCGTGGCCTCGCCCCCACGGAGTGCAAGGCGGCTCCGCGCGGACACCCCGCGCGGGCCGCACCCACGCGAACGCGTTTTCCGTGGGATCTTGCACCCCGGCGTCCAGGGTCGCGAGGGCGTCTTGCACGCGCAGTGATCAAGGGCTCCCACGAGGGCGCGAAGTTATTCGAGTTTCGTGCTTCGCGGTCCTCGTTCCTTCTCCCCCTCCTCCTCGTCCTCCTTTTCTCCCTTTGGGAGGGCGGCGCGAGAGCGCGAAGTTATTCGCGCTTCGCGGAGCGCGAAGCGCGAAGTTGGGAGCCCTAGGTGATGGGGGGCGATGAACGGGGCGGGGGAGAAAGATGTCCTTTGCGGGCCCAGGGGGGCTCCTTTTCTGCAGCCCTCGCTGTCCCCCCCATGTACAGTCGACCCGCATAGCAAGGATGTGCAGAAGCCATCTCTCGCCAGATACTCCTTGGAAGGGCTGGGCATTTAACGTTTGACGTAGCTCTCAGTGGCGCCACGATCGCATCCCTGCGCTCCGCATCGTGCTGCTTGGTCCGCTCTCCCCTCGTCCCCTCCAAAATTGCGCTGGAGAAAAAAAGAAGAAGGATGGGCAACCTTCTCAAGGGTACCCTTGCATCCTTGCCAGCCTCGGTCCATCCGTAGCGACGTTCGCTGGCCAGCCTCGTTCGAAAAACGTCGTCGTGGCCCTCCGAGGCCCTTGCACCCTCACCGCGCATCCTTCCGATACGCGTTGATTTTGATCGCCCTCCATCAGTTCGCCGCCCAAGCCGCAACGACAACCCGATGCATGCGTGGTTTGTTTCAGGAACGCTCTCTTGCGATGCCGGCGCGGTTCTTCGGGGCGTTGCCGCTTTTGTTGGGTGTTGTATGTGTGGTGTGTTGTCTGTGCCAGAGACCACACGCACCAGGAGGAGGAGGATGATGAGGAGGATGGCGAGGAGGATGACGAGGAGGATGACGAGGAGGAGGAGGAGGAGGAGGAGGAGGAGGAGGAGGAGGAGGAGGAGGAGGAGGAGGAGGGGGAGGGGGAGGGAGGAGGGGAGGGGGAGGGGGAGGAGGAGCAATCCGCGCCCACGCGCTGCCGTGGGTGCGCCCGCCGCCCGCCGCAGGCCCCTGGAGTGGCTGCTGCAGCGGCGGGGCCTCGACGGCCTGCCGGCGCCCGAGCTGGCGGCGCGGCAGCGCCGCGCCGAGGGGCTGCTGGCGGAGCTCGAGTTCGGCGAGCAGGCCGGGGGCCCAAAGAGTATACACCACCACCACGTCGATTCTTCTCCTCTCCTCTGCCCAGCGGGAGGAGGAGGAGGAGGAGGAGGAGGAGGAGGGGGAGGAGGAGGGGGAGGAGGAGGAGGATGAGGAGGAGGAGGAAGGAGGAGGAGGAAGGAGGAGGAAGAGGAGGAGGAGGAGGAGGAGGAGGGGGAGGGGGAGGAGGGGGAGGAAGGAGGAGGAGGAGGAGGAGGAGGAGGTTGACAGACCTCCTACCCTGACACGTCGAGTAGCGACTTGGCCGTTGTCGGTTCGCGAGAGGGCGCCGCGGCCGTCGTTTTGCGGGTCCGGTCAGGGTCCGTCGGTTTCGGTCCCAGGCCGTTGTCACCAAAGGGAGGTTTATTAGAGGGAGGTTTGTCCACCGCCGAAGTATATCAAGCAGTGGCGAAGCGTCCTGGCTCGCGTATAGCCCCATCAAACAGTGTTCTGAGAACCTCTTGTGGCTCCCACGAAGTGTTCTCAGAACATTTCTGGCGGGGTCTGTCTCGTTTTGTCACATCGGGTTTGTGAACTAAGAACGCTGTTTTTGTCCTTAGAACATTTGTGGGGTTCTGAGAACATTTCGTGGTAGGACTATAGGAATGCCAGGACGGTCGGTCGCTGCTCACACATACACCACCACCACCACGTCGATTCCTTCTCTCTCCTCCGCCCAGCAGGAGGTGGTGGCGGCGTATATTTTTTTGGCCCCCCAAGCAGGGGCACGCCGGCCGCCTCAACGCGTCCGCCCTGCTCGCCCCCACGGAGGACTTTGGCTTGGCATCGCTCGGACGTGTGCATGTTTTCTCTCGGCGAGGACCATCGAGGAGCATCTCAGTTCACCTTGCGGAAAAATACGCGCAAAATGCGCGCACGGAACCGACAAATGCACGGGGAATGGGCGTCCGAGCGATGGCGAGTTGGCTCTCGGAGGAGGAAGGTCGACGAGAAAACGGCACAGACATCAACTTTCTACGGTCCGCGCTGATTTCCTGAATCCGCGCTGGCCCCCCCACCCCCACGGCGGCGCCTCCGGCGCCGCCCCTGGCGCGCTCCGCGCGCCAGGGAGGGGGGTCCAGCGCAGATCCAAATAGATCCAAGACATCCGTGCGGAGCGCCAAAAGTTAATGTCTATGCCGTTCTCTCTTCTCCTAGGAGGGAGCACCGATGCCGTGGCTCGTGGTGGAGAGCTCTCGTCGCGACGGCCGAATGATCCTCGGGGTTCCGGTCAGAACGCGCCTCCTTAGCTTCCCTGATGCGCCCGTCTCGAAGTGCCACGCGTGCCGTGTTCATAATGGTCCGTGTTGGCGCGCTGCGTGTCGGCTCAACGTGTTGGCCCTCGGAACGTATCGCGCTGAACATGAGTTTTCAATCCACGTGTTGAGCTCCGAGTCGACACGCACGCTACGGGTCGGGGCGGCGAAGCGCGCCCCAGGAGAGGTCCTGGGAGTTGCGGTATCGGCAGTTGTTCCCTCCATTTGCGGCGTGTTCAACGGCGCGGCACCATCGGGGCGGCCTTTAAGAAGGTGGGGCGTCTCTCAGAAGGCAGGGGCCCTCTCGGGAGGGCCCCCAGAGCTTCTGGGAGGGCTGCTTGAAAGCCAGGAAGGCATCCACGCAGACCCCTGCTTTTGTATTCAACCTCATGGAAGAGAGACTCCCGGGGCGGCTCGTCCAAGGGGGGTTGCCCGGCAGGGTTGTCCAGATCACCGTTGGGTTGTCCAGGGGGGTTGTCTGGGGTGGGTCGCCTTGTCGTCACAAACAGCATGGGTTGTCTGGGGTGCCCGAGGGGTTGTGCCAGGATTCAGTTTGATTTTTTCTCCATGGAACATCGCAGGACCCCCCCGCCTTCTTAGGAGGCAGCAGCCCTCGCGGCGCTCCCCCGCGCGCGCCGCCGAGGACTGGTACGGCACGCTCTCCGGGGGCCAGAGGGGCAAGGTCGAAGAGCCGCTGCCACGAGAGGGGCCCAGACGGAGACGGTGTTTGGAGGTTCTGCACGTTTCTTCGGGCTCCCGAGGAGCCGCCCAAAGGCGACCCGGAATGGAGCTCCGGTCTCGGGGGCAGCCCTGGTGTTCGGGGCCAGCTGCTCTCAGGAGCCGTGCCCGTCAGTGCAAAACCAGGGGGCCACGCCGTGGCTGGTTGAAGGTGGGGTATATCCTGATCCCCAGGTGCGACCATATCTCTTAGGCACTTTCTCGCTTCCAGAGCCGACGGTCCCCGATTCCCACCGCGTCGTCCCAGTGTGTTTTGCCAAGCTCGGCCCCGAAGTGCCGCCCCTGGGCGTCCCCGCGTGATTTTTGTTCGTGGTATCCGCCAGCAGCGGGCGCCCTGCCCTCACGCCCGCGGCCCTGCGGGCCGGAGCGCTCCCGGCCCCGGGGGCTGCGAGGGGGATCTGGGGCAACGCTGGGCGACAAGAGTTAATGGGTCGATTTTCCAACACCAGTGCCATAGGTAGGAGGAGGAGGAGGAGGAGGAGGAGGAGGAGACGGAGGAGGAGGAGGAGGAGGAGGAGGAGGAGGAGGAGGAGGAGGAGGAGGAGGAGGAGGAGGAGGAGGAGGAGGAGGAGGAGAGGGAGGCGGACCTGCCCAGCCTCCCTTCTCCCCCGTCCGACCCATGGTAGTGGTGGTGGAAAACTGGCCCATCCGCAATGGGCGGGGGTCACGCTGGAGTCAGGAGGGAAAGAAACACACAGACACAATTAATCGTCGACTCCCAGGAAAATATGCAAAACTATGGGAAGTGGGGGGAAGACAAAACCCCCAAAAATATTGGAAAAGATGGGGAATTATGTTATTTGTGTAGCCGTTTCTCAGGCCCCCTCTCCGGAATCGAACCCTAATTCTCCGTTACCCGTCATTGCCACGGGAGGCCAATACCCGACCGTCGGAAACTGATAGGTCAGAAACTTGAATGATTCATCGCCAGCGAAGCTATGCGATTCGTTCGGTTATAATGAACAACAAAAGGACCAGGCGGAGCCTGGGCTGGTTCTGTAACTAATAAACACAACCCTTCCTATTAAGTCGGGTTTGGGCGCATGTATCAGCTCAGGGCCCCTTCATGGAGGGTGGTCTGCGATGGGCGCCGTTGTGGCCTGGGGGGGCCCCGCGTGGCGCCGCAGGTTGGCCGAGCCCTCGCAGGGGGGCGTGGCAGAGCTCTGCGTCGAGGTCCTCGCCCGCCTCCCCAGACGTGAGGTGCAAGCCACACACTTTGGAAACGCACACTTTTTTGATTCGCGGGTCGAGAGCGCACCTCTTCCGGTCGAAGCTAAGCGGGCCGCGCAGAGCTTGAATTACGCAGAGAAGGGGGAGGAGAAGGGGGGGAGCAGCCTCAGAGCGAGGCCGGGAGAAGGCAAAGCCTCGGAACCAGGCGGTGTCGGAGTCGACGAGCTTGCAAAGGAGCGCCTTCTCGAAGCCGGTGGCGAAGCACCGGTCGAAGCAAAGTGCTGTGGTTGGTGCTGCCGTCTACGGCCTTGGAAACACACACACACACATGGCGGAGTCGCCGAAACGTCAGGGAGCGCTGGGCTCAGTGGAGGACGCATCGGCCCGCAGCCGCCCATGGACCGCTGGCAGGGGCCCGAGGCGCGCCCCGCCCTGGAGCGTGCGGCATCGGGGGCCTGACGCAGCTCGATGTCCCCCCACCCACCAAACCACCCCAACCCAACCCGAAGGCCTCAATTTGCCCTCCATTTCCAGTTGGGGTGGGTGGGGGAACATCGAGAAAACACATATGGAACCCGTACCCCCCCCAACCCGAAATTCGGGTCTTCGGGTTGGGTTGGGGTGGTCTGGTAGGTAGTCAGATGTCCCCCCACCCCCCACCCCTGAGACAGTTCCCCCTCTGGGCTCCTTTCGGCTCCTCTGATTCGATTCGATTCGCAGTCGATGGCTTCCGATTCCGATCTGATTCGACTTGGGATTCCGAGTTGGATTCCGATTTCTCCATGGAGACCTCCTAGCCCGCCGCTTCCCGCCGAGTCGACCTCTCCCAGCTCGGCTGCCGATTTCCGCTGATCCGATCCATGCCGATCGCCGGGTCGATTTGTCAAATCGATCCCGGGCTCTCCTGCCCTTTGAGAGGGGGCTCTGGCGCCAGCGGGGGAGGCCGCCCGCGCCCCCCCGACTGCCCCCGCTCCGGGTCTCCGGCGGTGCGGCCTGCAGCCCTGGCGCAGCACGTGCGGAGGGGGGCCTCGGGAGCCTTGAGATCGGGGGCGGCAAAGAGGGGTGTGCTGACCAGGGGGGGGTGGACATCCTGGCGGGGGCCATGATATTTCCACAGATTTCACGGCGCGTCTTCTTGTTTCGTTACGTCCCTGGCCCCCCCGCTGGGCCGCGCACGTGCCGCCGGTCATGATTTGCACCCCCCCCTCTTGGACACCCCCCTCTTGGCCGCTCCCGATTGAGACGGGGGTCAATGCAAACAGGGGTCAGGCAGGGCCAGGGTCGCATTGACCCGGGTTTGGGTGCAGGATCCTGCCGGATCCTGCAAGATCCTTCGAATTAACCCGGGCTTGGGCGCAGGATTTTGCAGGATTCTGCAAGGCCTGGCTGACCCGGGCCTGGATTGACCCAGGTCAGAAGATCCCCGAGGGGCAGGACGGTTGTGAGCGGTGGTGGGGGTACACTGCCGGATTTGTGGGTGGAGGGTTCGAACAGCATTTCCCACAGGGGCGGGACAAAGTAAGGCTAGCAGTCCACAGCGCTAGTTTGTGTAAGTCCTGCCCCTCCCGATGTCCCGGGCCAGAGCTCAGAGCAGTGGTTGGCACCCAATGCCAGTGGCGCAGGCCACCGTGCATCTCCTAGCTGATCCTGTCACCAGCTTGCTGGTGTAAGACAGTTTAAACCTGCAGGTTGGCGTCTAGGAGGCTTCTCTGATCTCGGGATAGGGGGTAATTTTGTTCGGGGGCTCTCGTGGAATATCGGGCGCAGGCTTCAGTGCAGCACTTCAGTTTTAGCCAAGATTTGGCCTCCCCCCTCTGGGGTAGGGCTGGTGGAGCTGCATTGACATCGGTTCCCCGAAGCCGCCTAGATTTGTTTCGGTGAAAGTTTGTGGAGTAGTCTATAGTTGTCTCATCCCATCGGCGAGAGCATTTCGTGCTCGTCCGTAGATGGGTGCATTTGGGGTCAAGTTATTTTCAGTCTCAAGCGCGCGACACATTTCGATTTCAGATACGGCAGGGCCACGGCCAGCTCGTCCGCCGCTGGGTCGTCCCGTTTGGGCGCCCAGGAGAGCGTCGACAAATGTCTCGAAGGCGTCGTGATGGTCGATGCGGCCGCGGCGCAGGACGAAGCCGGCGGCGCTGCAGCGCTGTCTGGCGCAGAGCGCCATGGCGCGGGGACGCGCGCTTCGTTGCCGACGACGTGGGCGGATTGTCCGCGGGAAGAGGAGCGCCTTCGGCGCGTGCGCGGCGGCCCGGCATGCCGCTTTCTACAAGCGAGCGGCAACGCGACTTGCGCTCTGCACTCCGTCTGGGGAGAGCACGTTCTTAACTCTGACGGCGACGTCCAGCTGAATCGCGCAGACGTTCGAGAACTAGTGTTCCAGAGTCTCCCAGGCAAGTTTGCTGACCTGGAAACCTCGATCCTAATTCTCGGTCGCAGGATGTTGGAGAAATGGTTTCGCGCTGCTCGGGATGACGCCGTGAAAGCCGACGACGGCGATTTCGAGAGCCAATGTATTCGACGCGCCTGCCGACGAGGACGACGGTGGTGGTGGTGGTGGTGGTGGTGGTGGTGGTGGTGGTGGGTTGTGGTGGTGGCGGTGGTGGTGGTTGTGGTTGTGGTGGTGTGGTGGTTTGTTGTGGTGGTGGTGGTTGTGGTGGTGGGTGGTGATGGTGATGGTGGTGGTTTGGTGGTGGTGTGGTGGTGGTTTGTGGTGATGGTGGTGGGTTGTGGTGGTGGTGGTTTGGTGGCGGTGTGGTGGTGGTTTGTTGTGGTGGTGGTGGTAGGTTGTGGTGGTGGCGGTGGTTTGTGCTGCTAGTAGTGGTGGTGGTTGTGGCGGTGGCGGTGGTGGAGTGGTACATTGGTGGTGGTGGTGGTGGTGTGGTTGTTTGTGGTGGTGGCGGTGGGTCGTGCTGCTAGTAGTGGTGGTGGTTGTGGCGGTGGCGGTGGTGGAGTGGTACATTGGTGGTGGTGGTGGGTTTTTGTGGTGGTGGTGGTGGTGGTGGTGGTGGTGGTGGTGATGGTGAGTTGTGGTGGTGATGGTTGTGGTGGTGTGGCGGTGGTGTGGTGGTGGTTTGTGGTGGTGGTGGTGGTGGTGGTGGTGGTGGTGGTGGTGTGGTGGTTCGTGGTGGATCGTGGTGGTGGCGGTGGATTGTGCTGCTAGTAGTGGTGGTGGTTGTGGCGGTGGTGGTGGTGGTGTGGTAGATTGTGGTGGTGGCGGTGGTAGTGGTGGTGGGTTTTTGTGGTGGTGGCGGTGGTGACGGTGAGTTGTGGTGGTGGTTGTGGTGGTGGTGGTGGTTGTGGTGGTGGTAGTGGTTGTGTGGTGGGTTGGCGGTGGTGTTGGTGGTTGAGGCGGTGGTGGTGGTGGTAGTGGTGGCGGTGGTGGTAGTCGAGGTAATCGTCGCTGCGTCTCCGCCGGCGCCGGCGCCAGCGCCGGCGCTGCTGGCCGCCGCCAGCGCCTGCGCCGGCGCCAGGTGGGGGGGGGTTTGAACCCCCCCCGCTGGGCTGCCTCTGGTCATCGTCGCTGCGTTCCCGCTATCGGCGCTGCTGGCGGCCGTCAGCGCCGGCACCGGCGCCGCGAGGGGGGGGAAGGGGGGGGGGTTCGGGAGGGGGGGGCTTGGGTTGGACGGGAGTCCCCCTGGCTTTGGTCGACGGCGCCGAGTGTTGGGAGGGGGACACCCCCCGTCTCGAAACGCGCCGCCGAATGTTCCCGAGGCAAGCGCCCGTGAAACACGTTCTCTCCGAGCATCGGCACGAGAAAAATATGCGCAACGGTAGCGGTGATCCCTTTCCGTCGACTCTGAGCGGCGAGCTCGGTTCCATCGCGGGGCTGCCGACGCACCTGGGTGGGCCCTAGCATTAAGTTGGGCGTGTCCTTCTACAGGAAGAATGTTCAAGAATAGTCAAAAAATAGTCTGGGGACGATTTGCCGACTATTTTGGGCTGTGTTTGAAAATTGTGTTGTTATTGTTTGTTTCTTCTTCGAAAATCAGCCTGTAGGAGGACATGCCCGACCTATCCCTAGTGGCACGACCATGCGCCACGCGCACAAGTGGCCGCCGGTGGCGAATTGTGTGACGGGGCGTCATCTCCGCCACGGCGCATCTCCTGCTTCGTGAAGCGGGTTGCGCAAAGGCGTGGCAAGCCTCTTCGGCGGCGCCCCCCGTGGGACAAATCGCACGCGATCTGCATTCTGGACAAGTTCTGCGCCTGTCCCAGTTTCGTCTCAACTTTGGGCCCCGGGGCCATCAGAAGTTGATCCGCGGGGAGGGAGTCTGCCCCTGGGGGAAGCGGTCGGGGCTGCTGGCTTTTGGTGGCGCGCATTGACGTGGGATGTTTGGATTTTGGTCGGACTGGATCGGACGGGGCTAATTAGGACGAGGATAATCCGTTCCAGAGCGTTCCGGCACGCTCTCAGAGCGTTCCGGCACGCTCTGAGAAAGCCGCGGCGCGCGATACATCTTCCAGATCCGCCAGATCCTAGAGATTCCCGGTTTATTATCACCCGATTCTCTCCTACGGCATCGATCGAACATATCGATTCTGGAAGAGCTGTTGGATTTCGGATCGCTTCATAGGGGCGAATTGCGCGCCGCGCGACGCGCACGCATGCGGGGCCCTGCTTCTGTGAAGGTCGAGTTTGTCAGGAAAGTCTTTCTGCGCGACCGCTGCCCGGGCGTGCTGCTGATCGACGAGGCGTTCGCCCCGTTGGACCCGAGGTCGAAGCAGTTGGTGCAACGCAGGCTGAAGGAGCCTCCTCCGCCCGGGCTTCCTTTTCGCCATACGGGCGCCGGGGGGGAGATCTTGAGGTTTTCGCCGGCTTCCCGGCGTCTTTCATGGGCCCCCGGGCCGCCAACAGAAAAACACAGGATGAAGAGTTGGTCTGGGGGAAAGCCTCGGGGTCCTTGACCGTTTTTTTCTCTCAGGCCCGCTTCTCTCATGCCAGTTTTTTCCAGACTTCGGGCGGATAGTTGTTGTTCAATCCCGTCGTTTTTCTTTCATTTCTGCCTCCTGGGGTCCTTCGGCCCCAGAGTGATCATATATGGATCCTGAGCGAAAGGCGACTTCGGGGAAGAGGTCAAGACGATCTGGGACTCGCGGATTGAAGCAAAAGTCTGGGTTCATTTTTCCTTATCTCTCCCTCGTTGTCCTCCCCCCCATCCTTCCTCCTCTCTGTTTCCCCCTCTTGTTTTGATTTCACCTTCTCCCTTCATCCTGCGGACACCTTTTTTCCTCCTCGAGTGCAAACCTGACGGAAGATGGGTACCCCCCAGGTACCGAGCCTCATAATCGGAACGATTAGCCGGTCGATAATCTTATCTCAGGGCATCAAGCTATTTGGAAGAACATACCTGACAGCATTCGCAGAGCAAGGGCAAGGCAGGGGAAAAGGGAGTTGGGACCTGGCAGACCAGCCAGTGACAGAGCGAGCGTCAGCACACATGCTCACTGAGAGGAGGGAGATTGGCAGGATGGGGACAGGAAGAGCACCACGCGTGCTCAACGCGTCGTGGTCGCGCGGCCGCCAGCCTGTTGGGGGGCAGGTGCTGCACTGGAGCTCACCCAACCGCCGGCACGGCTCGTCGTGTCCGTGCACGGCAGCACCCGTCGACCACCACCTGGGCGACGCAAAAAAACGTGGTCGTCTGCGCCGACATCGGCGCGTAAGCTGCCCGCGTAAGGTCGCGCGTAAGCGCCCTCGTCTCCAATGCAGCGTGCCGCGCTGACGGCCCGCGTAAGCCGCCGCGCAAGGTCGCCACGTCATCCCGCGCAAGGCCCGTGTTTGATCGTCGCTCACTTGGTCTTCCCCGCGTGCGCCCGGGATGCCTGGGTGCACGCGGGGAAGGGGGGCCCCGAAGGGGCCCCCGAGGGCGATGCCCCGGAGGCGGAGGCCCTTGAAGCCCTCGATCCTCCTCGATCCTCCTCGATCATCCTCGATCCTCCTCGATCCTCCTCAATCCTCCTCGATCCTCCTCGATCCTCGATGCTCCCGGGGATCGGGAGCCCCAATCGGCTTGTGGGACGAGCCACGCGGAGGGCTGCGACGACTGACGCGTGCGAAAGGTGCACGACGTCGTACGACGAGAACGCGTGTGACGACGCGGGCGACAACGCGCGCACGACGACGCCCACGACGACGCCCACGACGACGCCCACGACGACGACGCCCACGACACACGACGACGCACGACGGCGCCCACGACGGCGTGCGGCGACGAACGTCGGGATGGGGAGAGCAGGAGGGAGGGTCTTTCGCCTCCTCCACCTTCGCTTTTGCCGTCCAGCTTCCGATCGCGACGAGCCGGCCCGAGGCGCTCTGGTCTCCGAGTCGATCCGAGGCTCGCTTTAAGTCGGGCCTGTCCCCCTACAGGGGGATTTTCGACGAAAAATATGAAATACCCAAAAAGACCCCAAAAAGGTCAAGAAATATTCAAAAAAATAGTCGCCAGACTATTTTTGGACTGGTTTTTGATTATTTTGGGGGTATTTTCTATTTTTCGTCGAAGATCCCCCTGTAGGGGGACAGGCCCGACTTAAGTCCAGCTCCCGATCTCGAGCCGGCCTGAGGCGATCTGGTCTCCGAATCGATCCGAGGCTCGTGCCGCGCTGCTCCTCGCAGGCGTCGGGACGGACTGCAGGTCCCCGGGCCTGGCTCCGCCCACGCGCAAGCGCGCGGGCAACTCTCCTCGGGGCGCAGGTGAGGGGGAGGAGGAGGAGGAGGAGGAGGAGGAGGAGGAGGAGGAGGAGGAGGAGGAGGAGGAGGAGGAGGAGGAGGCGGAGGCGGAGGAGGAGGAGGAGGAGGAGGAGGAGGCGGAGGAGGAGGCGGAGGAGGAGGCGGAGGAGGAGGAGGCGGAGGAGGAGGCGGAGGAGGAGGAGGAGGCGGAGGATGCGTGCCGCGAGCGCGCACCGCGCGCGGCAGGAGAGCGCCGCGCACTCCTGTCGGGCCGGGCGACATTTTCCCGGGTCCCCCCTTTGCGGGCTTCCTGGGAGGCCCTCGTCGCCACCGCTGAGGCGCTGGGAAAATCCGCTACGTGAGCTGATTCTCAACCCCCCCCTTTGCCATCGCCCCCTTTCGCCCAGCCCGATCCTGGGCCGTTCCGAGCCCAGGCCTGCGGAGTGCCCCTCGGGCCCTCAGGGTGACGCTGGCTCGTCTCGCCACTGTGAAGTCGGACCTGTACCTCCACAGGGGGAACACCCAACAATGGTCAAGAAATAGTCCAGGAATGATGTGTCGACTTGTCTTCATCATGTTTGAGTATGCTATGCTATGTTTCACTTTTTGGGGGGGGAGAAATTCGCCTTTAGGAGGACATGCCCGACCTAAGACGATTTACCAGACCACCCCAATTCAACCCGAAGGCCCCAGACCCCCGCCCAAAAATATTTGCTCGGGAGGCGTGCGGGTTCCACTCTGCCTCTTTCCTGTGTCTCGGAAAGCCCACCACACCGGGAACTGACTGGCCCGGCAGCGCCTTCGGGCCGGGTCGTGGGCGGCTTGGTGGGTGGTCATCCTCCGTGGCGCGCCACGCAGCGGCGCAGCGTCCCCTTGCGGGGACGGGCGCCCGATGTGGTCGGCTCGGTCGCGCGAGCGAGGGCTGGCGGAGGGCTCCCGGCTGCCCGCCGGGCAGGGTGAGCAGCAGGCACCCTGCCCACCTGGCTCCTGCCATCCCTTCAGGGGAGACGAGAGGGGCGGACAGCCCAGAGGAGAGCAATACACGTATCCAGGGGCGCCGATGATCTATGTCTTCGACAAGGCTCCCGGGCGAATACGTGTAATGCCCGCCCCTGGGCTATTCGCCCCCATCGTCGCCGCCGATCCCTGCATCCTTCTTCCGGGGATCGCTAGGGCCCTCTGGAGGCGTCCCCGTTGCCGCAGAGGCTTCTGGGGACCTCCGAAGGCCTCTCCATTCCGCTTCCCTGAGAGCAGAACTCCTCCTCGTCGCACCTCGAGGTACCCCGAGACGTGTCAGTAGGGCGGGCTGGGCGTTTCGCTTGGGGCTTCCTCACCGCTCGCGAGACCGAAGCTGAAAATTCGCAGGAGCTTTGCGGGTGGAGGGCGGGCCGTTTGCAAAATACGGCTCTCTCTCTCATTGGCGCCGCGCTCGCTCGTCATAGATTCGTGCAGGGGCCTCACGGGTGGAGGGCGGCTCCTGATGAAAATGCGGCGCCGCGCGATTTGCAAGAGTTTGCCCGGTGGAGGGTGTTGTTTGTCAAAATGTGGTTATTGCTATTATCGCCGTGCACATTCGCAGCAGGAGGATGCAAGGGTTTCACGGATGGGTGGCGGTTCAAATGTGGTTCTCGCCGTAAGCGCTGCGCACATTCGATTTGCGAGTTTACAGCGGTTTCAAGGATTCGTATGGTTGACGTCTCGGAGATTGGGTTTTGGCACGGCGTAGGGTTGTCAGGGTGCAAGTGTCACGTTGATTAGCGGTGTTGAATTTCCAGGAACGGCGTTCTGGCACGATTCAGGATCGTCAGGACGCAACAGTAACGTTGATTCGCTTCGTTGCACTCCCAGGAATGGTGTTTCGGCACGGTTCAGGTTTTTCAGACGATTGTTATCCAACGGGGTATTTTCTTAAGTGAAATACTTCTTTGTATGGGCTCATGACGCAGGAATTTGGAGAGAAAGTCTAGTGCAGCATCGTTGGTGAGCCTTGAGTTCGCACTTGTCCTGCTCCTCCTGCTCCGCCTCCTCCTCCTCGTTCTTTGTTTCTTTCTCTGCGCTGCCGTGCCGCAGGATTGGGCGCCAGTGCCCTCCTCTTTCTCCAAGCTGGGAATCTCTGATCTCCTCAGGAACCCTGGCAGAAGAACATCCCGGGACCCCCAACAATTGACAAACAAAAACGTTTCATGATTTCTATGTTTTGCCCTCTCTTCCCCTCCTGTTCCCTTTGTGGCGTCAGCCATGGAGGAGTTCTGCGCCGAGTCCCTCGTGCTCGTCATATACCACGGCGACGCCGACAGCAGCTGCGTGGCTGGTGGGGGCTTCTTCGACGAGAGCCTGCACTTCGCCAACGGCTCCGTGAGCCTCGCGCCCACGTGCTAGGCGTGTGCCAGTTGGCACGCGCCCCGCCCCCGCGGCTGCAGTCGCGGAGAAACACCGCCTCCTCCCCTCTCGCGTCGGCGATGTTCGGGGGTGCCCCTTCGCCAGGGGTTCGAGGGAGAGGAATACGTAAAACATAAACTTTCGGAGCTCCGCGCGGATTTCTTGAATCTGCACTGGGCCCCCCTGGAGGCGCTCGCAACGCCGCCCCTGGCGCGCTCCGCGCGCCACGGAGGGGGGTCCAGCGGAGATCCAAGAAATCTGCTCGGAGCTCCGACAGTTTAGACTTATGTTGAGTTCCGTTCAGAAGCCTTGCGTCCAGACGGCTGCGCGAGCAGGGTGAGGCAGTGAGCAGCGAAATTGTTCGTTAGAGGGGCGGGCTGTATTGGCAACGGCTACGCGTGCTCAACATACGGAGGGGAGGGGGAGGAGGAGGAGGAGGAGGAGGAGGAGGAGGAGGAGGAGGAGGAGGAGAGCGGAGAGAGGAGACAGGAGAGAAGAGAGAGGAGAGAGGAGAGAGGAGAGAGGAGGGCCACAAACTGCTCGAACTTGCTGTTTCTACGCGCGCGCGCTCCTCCACCATCCTGGCGAAAGAAAGCAGCAACGCGCTCGCGTGAGCCCGCAACAGACACACAATTATCCATGACCTTGTGGCTCTAAGTTTGTGTCGGCCTGCCACGCTGCCGCGGCCCGTCCGGTCGCTTCAGTTCGATGCCGCCAGGGCGGAAGATCGAGCAGCGCATTGGGGCAGAGTTTGCCCGCCTGACAAGGTGCCCCATGAGTTCCATTTGTCGCCTGCAGATGTCTTCGCTCAGCGCCCCCTGTCTGGCCGTAGTCAAGACAGTTGCGTTCGACACTCTGCTCGGAAAAGACGGCGAGATTTGCAATCTTTTGTTGATGCAACGGGCTTGGAAGGCGTCGAGCCTCCTCCTGTCAAATTTGTTCAGACACGCGGCGAATGAGAAATTTTGAAACTTGGACACAACGCAAGCATTGAAAATTGCAATATTCCGCCTGCGGCTCAGTGATGAATGTGACCATATCGCATGCAACGCCTTGAGCTCACTGCTAGCGGCCCCTGTTCGACGGCTGCGCTCCGCTGCGATCCGACCGTCAGATGACAAGCACGTCCCAAGATCGGAGGTTGGGGGGTGTGAACGGAAGTGACCCCAACCGCGAAATCGGTTTCGGTTTCGGTTCGTGTCGTGCTTGCGGGCGAGGCGAAGTTGCGCGAGGTTCTGCATTGGTGCAGGCTACATGGAGCTCACAGGGTCGCCCCCCCCCCTCCCGGGCGCGACCCCCGATGGTTGTCCCGCGGGTTGTCCCGATGGTTGTCCAAATGGTTGTCCCGATGGTTGTCCCGATGGTTGTCCCGATGGCTGTCCCGATGGTTGTCCCGATGGTTGTCCCGATGATTGTTCTGATGGTTGTCCCGATGTTTGTCCCGATGGTTGTCCCGATGGTTCTCCCGATGGTTCTCCCGATGGTTGTCCCGATAGTCTTCCCGATGGTTGTCCCGATGGTTGTCCCGATGGTTGTCCCGATGGTTGTCATGATGGTTGTCCCGATGGTTGTCTCGATGGTTGTCTCGATGGTTGTCCCGATGGTTGTCCCGACGGCTGTCCCGATGGTTGTCTCGATGGTTTTCCCGGTGGTTGTCCCGATGGTTGTCCCGACGGTTGTCCCGATGGTTGTCTCGATTGTTGTCCCGATGGTTGTCCCGATGGCTGTCCCGATGGTTGTTGTCCCGATGGTCGCCCCCCGCCCGGGCGCGACCCCCGATGGTTGTCCCGATGGTTGTCCAAGTGGTTGTCCCGATCGTTGTCCCGAAAGTTGTCCCGATGGCCTGGTTGTCCCGATGGTTGTCCCGATGGCCGTCCCGATGGTTGTCTCGATGGTTGTCCCGATGGTTGCTCCGGTAGTTTTCCCGATGGTTGTCCCGATGGCTGTCCCGATGGCTGTCCCGATGGTTGCTCCGATGGTCGTCCCGATGATTGTCCCGATGGTTGTCCTGATGGGTTTCCCGATGGTTTTCCCGATGTTTGTCCCGATGGTTGTCCCGATGGTTGTCCAGACGGTTGTCCCGATGGTTGTCCTGACGGTTGTCCCGATGGTTGTCTCGAAGGTTGTCCTGATGGTTGTCCCGATGGTTGTTTTGATGGTTGTCCCGATGTTTGTCCCGATGGTTGTCCTGACGGTTGTCCCGATGGTTGTCCCGATGGTTCTCCCGATGGTTGTCCCGATGGTTGCCCCGATGGTTGTCCCGATGGTTGTCCCGACGGCTGTCCCGATGGTTGTCATGATGGTTTTCCCGGTGGTTGTCCCGATGGTTGTCCCGATCGTTGTCCCGATGGTTGTCCCGATGGTTGTCCCGATGGTTGTCCTGATGGTTGTCCCGATGGTTGTCCCGATGGTTGTCCCGATGAATGTCCCGATGGTTGTCCCGCTGGTTGTCCCGCTGGTTGTCCCGATGGTTGTCCCGATGGTTGTCCCGATGGTTGTCCCGATGGCTGTCCCGATGGTTGTCCCGATGGCTGTCCCGATGGTTGTCCCGATGGCTGTCCCGATGGTTGTCCCGATGGTTGTCCCGATGGCTGTCCCGATGGTTGTCCCGATGGCTGTCCCGATGGCTGTCCCGCTGGTTGTCCGATGGTTCTCCCGATAGTTGTCCCGATGGTTTTCCCGATGGTTGTCCCGATGGCTGTCCCGATGGTTGTCCCGATGGTGGATGCACAAATAGGTGTGTATATATATATATTTATGTATATAGGTGGATGCAGAGATACATCTATAGACACAGAGACAGGTAGATAGGTAGATGGACACACAGACACCATCAGCACCACCATCACCACCAGCATTCCGAAAATATTTGCACTCCAGCCGCTTCGCCCTGCAGAGGGCCGCCATCATTCACACCGCAACAGCATGTCGCCGTGGAGTGGGCCGCGCCAATTCATGGTGCCAGGCGCTGCCAGCTCTGGGCAGCGTGACCTCCCGCGATGGGCTCGCAGAGCTCAGTCCCGCCCACGTGATGACGGGCGAGCAGTTGGTCCAAGCTCTCAAGAAAGTCCCCGGCGCGAGGCGCGTCGGCTGGAACGCGTCGAAGACCTCGCAGGGGAATGTCGGTGACCACACAACGGAAAGCAACTGCCTCGTCTGCTCATAGTATGGCGGCCCGACCAGGCCATTCGAATTCGAGGTCACTCGGAGTCAGCACGCGAAGGACAATAATGCGCCTTTCACAGCGACGGCGATGTTCAACGACCCGCCGCAGGATATGGATGCGGAGGCACGGTGGGCTTCACGTGCAGTTGTGAAAAGAATGATATTTTGCCAGGGGTCGTGCACCAGCACACGGAGGACAGCTCGGCGCGGCTCGGCGGCGCGACGGGCTCCGCCGGCGCATCGGCCTCACAGGGCGCGGTGGCTGACGCGGAGGCCGCGCAGGGTGCCGAGGCCGCGCCGCGGGGGCCTTCAGAAGAGCGCACGGGCGCGCCCGGCTCTGTCAACAAGCTGACGGCATTCGGGGCGGCTGTCCGGGCACCAGCGGCACGATTCGGAGATGGCGCCAGGGATCAGCCAGCGGCTCAGCTTCGTCGGAGCGCGGCCCATGTTCGCCGAATTCGGCCCTTACGAACGCAGTCGGCAGATGAAGCAGGCAATCGCGGAGCGGGATCAGACCCTGGACTCCTCGTTCGCGCCCAGGCAGATCCTTAAGCTGCGCGCGAAGTTGCGCCCGCAACTTCTTTCATCGCGCGAGGACGTCAGTCGCGCCGGCCCAGCTCTCTGCCATCATCAACTTCGCGATCCAGGAGTCAGGTCGGACGCGCCGACGATCCACGCTCTCAGGCAGCAGCTGGCGGCGCAGTGGCACCAGGAGCTCCGCGGCCTCAGCGGCGGGCGCGATCAGACCGCGCAGGTCTCAGCCGCGGCCGCGCAGTCCCCAGTCAGTCGAGCAGCAGATCGACTTCTTCGCCCTCAGGGCGCGACGTGAGCCTGACCTCAGGGCCGCCAGAGTTGCCGGGGCCACCCGGGCCCCGCGGGGCTGTCTGCGCAGGGCCTCAGGCGGGGCGGGCGAATCAGAGTGCGAGGGGGGGGGGGGGAGGGCGGCGGACAGCAGGGGGCAGGATCAGGCCTCGTTACCTCAGACCCTGGATTTTTCATTTACAGAGCGCAGAGATCTTTCTCAGTGGAGGACAGTGCTCAGTTCCAGCGCATGGCCACTTTTGGGATTTCTTCGACGGCCAGTTCTCAGCGCAGGTTTTTCTCAGCGCAGGTCTGCATCGCCGTTCAGAGCCACGCCTCAGGGGGAGCTGGATGGCAAAGTCTACCTTTGGCCCTTCAGGTCAACTCAAAGCGCAGCAGGCTCAGCGCACCCAGCTCAGCCTCGAGCGATCTAACCGCCTCAGCGCGAAGAAGGAACATAGGGGAGGGCCCAGCTTTCGCGCGAGGTCTGCACTCAGCTTTTAGCTCTCGGTGAAAAATTGATTCATCCCCGGTCAGAGCCAACCACGCTCAGACTCACTCGGGCCAGACTTGTCCCTCTCAGACACATCCGCACTCAAGCGCACTCGCGCTCAGATTCAAGCCCGGCTCAAGCACCCTACCATGGTTAAAGTCAAACGCGCTCGCATTCGCTCGCACTCAGACACAATCAGACACACTCGCACGCACTCTGACACCGGTGCTACAGCTATCGCCCCGCTAAACAGGGGCCTCGGATTTTTTTAGCGGTGCTAGCGATAACCCTGGGGGAGTTCTTAATAACCAAACGCGGTTATGTGTTCCGCTCCGTCACGCAGCGACGCAGTTCCTGCACCTGTTTCACTTCACATATCTTGGTTTTTCGGTTTGAAGAACACCGGAACGCAGGACGTCAGAAGTTCTGGCTCACTGACAGAACGAAGACGTGGCCCCCACAGCCTTGACTCGGAAAACATACACCATTTCCCCAAACAGCGCTTGCATTTAGAGGTTTTTATTCGTGTCCCCCAGGAGTCGGATTGCTCCGGCGAGGCTTCCCCACGTTGCCGCCGCGTTGCTGCCTCATTGCCGCCTTTGCGTTGGGTCGGTTCCGCCAGGTTTCGCCACGTTGCCGCCCGTTGCCGCTTCGTTGCTGCATTTGCGATGGGTGGGTCTGGCGAGGTTTCGCCGCGTTGCCGCCCGTTGCCGCGTCTAGTTTTTGCCACGCGTGCTGCACCTCATAGTTTACACCACATAGCTTGCAGCACACAGCTCACACACCCACAGTGCATCAACTGAGTGCTTGGGGTCCACGCTGGTTGACAGATGTGGTTGATCTTTCTTGGGGCAACGCTTCATGTCAATTTGAATATTGGGCCTTGTGATTTTTCTTGCGAACCTTTTCTGAGGATATTCCAGCCTTTCCGCCTTCAACCGTTTTCTTCCGAACACCCCGTCTCTCACAATATGTTTGTCATGTTTTTGCCTGAATATTTCCCCATCGGGGTTCGCCAGCTGGCCTGTGGCGAGCTTGATTGGGCGCGTACTGCCAAGAGGAAGACCGATACACAAGACAGGTGTAGGAAGGGGGCGAATCGCTTCAGAGCGCTCTGGGGAACCCTCCCAGAACGTTCTGGAACGTTTTGGAATTTCGGAACACTGTGGAACGGCCGCGGCGCCCGACGTATCTTCCAGACCCGCCAGCCCGCAGAGATGCCCAAGTTTTCCCTGCGCGATTTTGTCCCGATATTGGCCTGGTCTTTAATGCAACCGCGTGTAGTTTAAGGGGGTTCCCCTCCTCGCGTGTTCCGCCCCGCGGTGCGACGGAAGGGAGCCGCCGCTGGGCCGTAGTTGGAGCTCCCCACAGAGCACCAAGCGTGTAATTTGAGGGGTGCATTGAGTGTGGCGTCGCCGACCACATGTGGCCGTGCCCGTTGGGCTGTGGCTAGAGGCCCACAGCCAAGACATCCGACGATGTGCTTCTCTCCATCCGCGGCCCCAGAGATCTGGTTGACCCAAAGGGGGGCCCAGCTGAAAGGGGGTGGCGCCATAGTCAGGAGGGAAAAGAACACACAGACACAATTAATCTTCGATTCCCCAGAAAATATTGGAAAATATGGGAAGTGGGGGGGAAGACAAAAACCCAAAACATATGGGAAAATATTGGAAAATCTTGTTATTTGTGTGTATTTATTTGTGTGTCCCAGGGCCCCTTCAAATAGATCTGGTGCAACAGATTTGTAGGGTTGCAGCAGATTTGGGGCGTGCAGTACATGCCGGTGCGCAGATGCATTGCTGGATCTTCGCGTGCAATGCACGAGCTGCAATACAGTGCAATACAGCTCTCTGGCGCGATACATTCGCAAGACTAATGCCCCACATCTATTGCACCACCCCCTTTCAGCTGGACCCCCTTTTGGGTCAACCAAAAGAGAAGTCCCGACCTTTTGCCAGTGAATCTCTTTGGTGCCAGACCCGTTCCTGATGGCCCCGGGGCCCAGGGCCTGAAAGCGGGCCCCGGGAGGCGATGCTCGCTCGACATTTCGCCGGCGTGTCGGGCATGCCATGCTTCGATATTCCTTTGGGTGCTCGAGATGTTACTTCTGGGATGTCGGAAACTGGAGCATGTACATTACCGGTGGCGGGTTGTCTTTCAATCCGAGGGTCGGGGACGACGTCGGGATGGTGGGGCGTATATTTGTTTGAGCCCGTTTCCCCGGTGAAAGGCGACAAATGTGTACACCAGGATCCCGTGTACACCAGGACCCGCTCTCCCGTGCGAATTCCAATGCGGGGCTGGGAAGAGCGTCAGCGTAGAGAGCTCGGTTCCCGAAGAACCCCTGGGGTGTGGCGTCGTGGCCCCTGGGCTTCTCCTGGGGCCCCGGCGCCCTCGCTGGACCCCTCCCAGGGCGAGCGTGGCCGCGACGACGGCGCGCCCATCTCCTGGGGGGGGGGTCACGCGGGAGAGGAGGAGGAGGAGGAGGAGGAGGAGGAGGAGGAGGAGGAGGAGGAGGAGGAGGAGGAGGAGGAGGAGGAGGAGGAGGGGGAGTCGTAGTCTCAGGCCTGAGTCGGCCTCTTCATGTTTTCCTAGTCACGAGACGCAGCGATCATCTTATCTATGTCCGCGCAACGTCAAAAAGAAGGAGGAGAAGGAGGACGAGAATGAGGAGGAGGAGAACGAGGCGGAGGGAGGAGGAGGAGGGAGGGAGGAGGAGGGAGGAAGAGGAGGAGGACGAGGAGAAGGAGGACGAGGACGACGAGAAGGAGGAGGGAGGAAAAGGAGGAGGAGGAGGAGGAGGAGGAGGGGGAGGAGGAGAAAGGAGGGAAAGGAGGGAGGAGGAGGGGGAGGAGAGGGAGGCGAGGTGGAGGCTCGCGGGCCGGCGGTGCGCCGAGAGCTCTCTCGGGAGGTCCCCGGGTGGTTCCGGGAGGCCTCGGTCGTGGTGAGCGCATTTTGTTGCAAATCATCGTTGTCGTCATCTGACCGTTGCCGCCTCCTCCTCCTCCTCCTCCTCCTCCTCCTCCTCCTCCTCCTCCTCCTCCTCGAGTTATGATATCCCGGCCTACTGCAGCCTCGATCACCAGGACGAATTTCGAGCACCAGGGAAGCACCCAAACTGGAGGGTTTTTGCATGTCGGGCCCTGGGAGGCGATACTCGCTCGACGCCCCCTGGGTACGATGGGAGCAACATAAAGCTCGAGCCTCACTGCACCGGCTCGAGTTCTTTTCGTTGGTGCCCCCTGCTGGCACAGACAGCTTGGCAGCAAGAGGCCTGGCGTGCGGGGCGTTGGGAGGGCTCAGAGGCAGGACAAGGTACCGATGCCGCTGCCACTGCCTTGTTTTCCCCTTTGGGGGGCCTCCTGGGAGGCCCTCGTCGCCACCGCTGGATTCGCTTCAGAATTCTGGTCTGAACGCACCCTGGGAGAGGTCCGGGGAGCAGCGGTGTCGCTACCTTTTGGTTTTCCCGGATCTTGGCATCGTGCGGACGTGTGCATGTTTGTTCTGGCGAGGCCAGCGCCAGAAGATTTGGCCATCTTGGAGCACAAAACGCGCGCACGGGGAATGGACCTCCGAGCGGTGGCAAGACATCTCCCTGTCTCGGCTGCTCTGAGACGCCCAGGGCGTGGGAGAGTTTGGAAGCTGAATCTCGGCCTCCATGCTGGCGCCGCAACCGGCGCGCGAAAGACGGCCCGCATGGATCGGCCGGATGGCGATGGGGGGATCAGGACATGGGGGGATGAGTATCCGGTACCGTTTTGTTGGGGTACAATTTGTACCTTCTCTGCGGGTTGCGTGGGGCGTAGGTACAACTTGTACCTCGGTTGCGCCTCTCTCTCCCCCCCTGGACTTATCCCCCCATTTGCATCCCGCCAAATGGAGGTCGAAGATGAGATGAGAAAAATGCTCCGCCTCGATCTTTCCGAGGCGTCGGAGGCGTGAGAGGGCTGCGCGCGATCAGCAGCCGAGCTCGGCTTCCACGAGGCTCTCCCGGGCAGGGCGTCGCGCCCGGCGCGCGGAGGACGGACCCCCCAGGGAGGTCGAAAGTGGGGATTACCCTCCGCCTCGCCAGACGCTTGGCATCGCTCGGACGTGTGCATTTTTCCTTCGGCGAGGACCATCGAGGAGCATCCTTGACCATCTGGCGAGAAAAAAACACGCACGAAACCGAGACAAGCACAGGGAATGAACGTCCGAGCGATAGCGAGGACGTCCAGGATGCTGCGCGAAGATGGCCCCAAGATGCCTCCAAGATGGCCTACGACGGCCCAACATCAGGAGGGAAAGAAACACACAGACACAATTAATCGTCGGTCCCAAGAAAATATGGGAAAATATGGGAAATGGGGGGGAAGACAAAAACACAGAAAATATAGGAAAATATGGGGAATATTTCTATTTGTGTGTATTTATTTGTGTGTCCCAGGGCCCCTTCACAACAGGCCAGCAAGAGGCCTCCAAGACAGCCCAAGAGCCCTCCAAGACGTCCTCCACGAAGGCCCGAAAAGGGCCAACATCAGTGATTTTCCTTAGGTGTTTCAAGGATTTTGGCATTTGCGCCTTTTCTGCCTTCCGACGGCCCAAGACGGCCCAAGAGGCCCCCAAGATCGCCCAAGAGGCCCCCTAAAGGGCCCCACCCCAGTGCGCGACAAACCAGCCCCGTTTAGGCCGAAGATGGGAGAGAGCGGTTCGACTACGCGTTAGAGCGACCCTTCGCCGGAATGACCTTTGGTGCGGGCCCGCTGGGGTCCCCCGATCGCCGAGCGCAATGCGATAGCAGCGGCCTGCGCGCTCTAATTGTACCCCTCGCGCCCCCCAGAAGCCGCGCCTTGCCCAGGGCCGCTCCTGCGTAAAGTTGCTGACAGTTCTCCGCTTCGTGTTGCCCACAAAATTATTACCCCTCTGACCTCTCCTGGGGTGCGCTCCGGCCAGAGTTTCGCCGCGCACTTGGCGCGGCGACGAGAAGCCCCGGCGAGGCTGCAGTGTGCTTTGTTTCTCGGCGAGAACCATCGAGGACCATCCTGGACCATCGAGCAAAAAAAACGCACGAAACCGAAAAACGCACGGGAAATGGACGTCCGAACGACAGCAAGGGAGCGTCCAAGAGCTCCAGACGTCCCAAGGCCTGACGGGGCGGCGGCCACCGGCGGCCCGGCCTACAGGCGCCCCCGGCGGACCAGAGGCTGGTGCAGTACAACGCCTCCAGCACGGCGCTGCGGCGCTGGAGCCCAGAGGCCGCGAAGCTCTCGGCTCACGGCGCGGTCGCCGTCGTCACGTTCGTCGTCGTCGTCGTCATGTTCGGCGTCGCTTTCGGCGACGTCGTGGTGGTCGTCGGGTCGCCCGTTGTTGTTGTTGCTGTTGCTGTTGTTGTTATTGCTGTTGCTGTTGCTGTTGCTGTTGCTGTTGCTGTTGCTGTTACTGTTACTGTTGATGTTGCTGTTGCTGTTGCTGTTGTTTTTGTTGCTGTTGCTGTTGCTGTTGCTGTTGTTGTTGTTGAACATTATTACTTCTAAAGAATAATTCTTGTTGGGACCCCTGGTGCACGACCCCCCCGCCGCGCCTAGGCCGCAGCCTCATTTTCATCATTTTCGTGAGGAAGTCTCAGGCAAAACGGGTTGGTCCGGATCCGGTTGTGTTGTTACGATCGGTTTTCCCTTGCAAAAAATAAGCTAAAGTGGACATTTCTTGTTCTAACATAACCAAACTTCAAGAATCCCTTGCAAAAAATAAGGTAAAGTGGACATTCGCGCGCGCAAGACGAAATCCTTCCAAAACCTTAGTTTTCGTAGCGATTTTAACATAAAAACATCAAAAAACCAATGGTTTTTCAAAACAAAATGTCAAAATTTCATCCCGCGCGCTCTTGCGGATTCGTAGGAAACCCAACACTTTTTAATCATTTCTGTCAAACGGGCTTTTGCGAGCAACTTTTTCGAACTTCTGCAACAACGGTTGCGCACCTGCCAGGGCCATCATCCCTGTCAAATAATACCATGCGGGACACATTCGTTTTTTCTTCGCGCGCGCACGCCGTCGTCGTCGGCCGCGGGGCCCTGAATAGTAGCCACGGTCGTCCGCATGCCACGAAGTGAAGTGTCCGAACGTCATAGGGCGGGAAGCTGGGTGTGGGTGGTGGCGAAGAGTCGTTTGGAAATTTGGTAGAGCTTGAACCGGCCCCCCCACAAAGTGGGGGTATTGCCCGCCTCCTATGAAAACCCTGGCACTGGTGAGAACGGAGTGTCCCCACGTGCTAGTAATTGTTGTTGTTGTTGTTGTTGTTGTTGTTGTTGTTGTTGTTGTTGCTGTTGTTGTTGATTGACACTGCACCTAACAACCCGCCCCCCCCCCCCAAACAACCAGCAACCAGCAACCCAGCCGTTGGCGCGCCTGGCGTGTGTGGCGCACCTGGCGCGCCTGGCGCACCTGGCGCACCTGGCGCACCTGGCGCACTTGGCGCACCTGGCGCACCTGGCGCGCCTGGCGCACCTGGCGCACCTGGCGCACCTTGCGCACCTGGCGCGCCTGGCGCACCTGGCGCGCATGGGGCACCTGGCGCGCATGGGGCACCTGGCGCACCTGGCTCGCCTGGCGCACTTGGCGCGCATGGCGAACCTGGCGCACTTGGCGCACCTGGCGCACCTGGCGCACCTTGCGCGCCTGGCGCACGTTGGCGCGCATGGCGCACCTGGCGCACATGGCGCACCTGGCGCACCTGGCGCACTTGGCGTATCTGGCGCGCATGGCGCACCTGGCGCACATGGCGCACCTGGCGCACCTGGCGCACCTGGAGCACATGGCGCGCCTGGCGCACGTAGCGCACCTGGCGCGCCTGGCGCACCTGGCGCACATGGCGCGCCCGGCGCACCTGGCGCATCTGGCGCACCTGGCGCGCCTGGCGCGCTTGGCGCACCTGGCGCGCCTGGCGCACGTGGCGCATCTGGCGCACCTGGCGCCGCTGGCGCATCTGGCGCACCTGGCGCGCCTGGCGCACCTGGCGCACTTGGCGCGGCTGGCGCACCCGGCGCACCTGGCGCCGCTGGCGCACCTGGCGCACCTGGCGCACCTGGCGCACCTGGCGCGCCTGGCGCACCTGGCGCGCATGGCGCACCTGGCGCACATGGCGCACCTGGCGCTCCTGGCGCACTTGGCACACCTGGCGCACCTGGCGCGCTTGGCGCACCTGGCGCACCTGGCGCACTTGGCGCGGCTGGCGCACCTGGCGCACTCGGCGCACATGGCGCGCCTGGCGCGCCTGGCGCGCATGGCGCACCTGGCACGCCTGGCGCGCGTGGCGCACCTGGCGCGCCTGACGCACCTGGCGCACGTGGCGCGCATGGCGCACCTGGCCCCCCAGGAAGTTCCACCGAAGTTCCATTTCGACACACCTTTCTCGAGGATCATGGCCCTGGCCCCACAGGGAACTTTACCGAAGCATCATGTCGGCACGCCCGTCTAGAGGATCGTGGCCCTGGCCACACAGGGAGCTCCACCGAAGCTCAATTTCGGCACACCACTCTCGAGGATCGTGGCTCTGGCCCCACAGAGAGCTCCACCGAAGCTCCTTTCCTTCTTCATTTGTGGTTCCAGCCATTTTGGCATGCGCCTCCCCCCTCTGGGGCAGGCCGCGGAGGGATGCCGGGCCCATGGGCCCACGAGGCCTGTTCGAGGAGGATGAGAGCCTCTTCGAGGCTGTGGACGGCACCAGATGGCAGATCGCGGAAGCCCGCGCTGGGCCGACGCGCTTGCTGGACAAGGTGGCTGACCTGAAGGCTTTGTACAAGCGCCAGTACGGCAATACACAGATATACGTGTATTTAAATGTGTGTTTTCGTATATATATATATATGTATGTATAAGCATATGCCAAACGTGTACATGTATACATATGTGTACATATGTGTGTATGTATGCATGTATACATACCTATATGTAATCACAACAGGTGTGCACATATTCAGGTGATTAAGCAATGTTATATACATATACATATACATGCATATGTACATGTATGTTTTCAAATATGCATATGGCATAGACATATATATAATGTGTTGTGCATATGATATATATATATATATATATATATATATATATATATATATATATATACGTATGCATTTGTATACATGTACAGTTATACATGCATATACATCCACATATACACATTTGTGGACATTCTTATATAATATACACACATAACCTACGCAGGGTACCTTTTGGGATCCGTAAGGAGCCCCAGGGATCCCCCAGGATTCTGAGGATCCCTAAAGGAAGTTTCCTGGATGCCTTAGGGTTCCCAGGGAATCCTTAAGAGTCCTCAGGATTACTTAGGAGTCCCAGGGATTCCTTAGTAGTCCTCGGGATCCCTAAGGAATCCTAGGGATTCCTTAGGAGCCCCAGGGATCCCCAAAAGTTCCCATGGATTCCCGGTGATTCCTGAGGAGTCCGAGGGATGGGATGTTTAGGGATGACCACGGATTTTTGAAGACCCCTAGGATCCCTAAGGAGTCCCAGGGGTCCCTCAGGAGTCCTAGGGGTTTCTAAAAAGCCCTAGGGATTCCTACAAAATCCTTAGGCGTGCTCGGGTTTCCTTTGGATTGCTAGGGATCCTTTAGGAGTCTCAGGCATTCCCTGGGGTTCCTTGGGGTTCCTCCGGATTCGTGAGGATTCTTATGGATTCCGCACGATACTTCAGGATTCCGAGGCATTGTTTTGGATTCCTAGGGATTCGTTAGGATTCCATAGGATTCCTAAACATGCTCTAGCAGTCGTAAGGATTCCATCGGAGTCTTAGGGGTCCCTAGGGATTCCTTCGGATTCCTACGGATGCCTTAGCATTCGTGAGGATTCCATCGGGTTCCTAGGGATTCCATAGGATTCCTAAGGATTCCTTAGCATTCGTGCGGATTCTGTAGGATTCCGATGGGTTCCTAGGATTCCTAGGGATGCCTTAGGAACCCCATGAGGTGTCACAGGGTTCCTTGGGAATCCAATGGGATTGCTTAGGAATCTTTAGGAATCCCACAGGCTTCCGTCGGATTTCTATAGGCTTCCTCAGGGATCCTATAGGATTCCCATAGGATTACCATCGGATTCCCATAGAATTTCTTGGGATCCCTTGGGAATCCCCTAGAGATCCCATGGGACGCATTAGGAATCCGTAGGAACCCCATCGGATTTCTATAGGCTTCCCTCGGCATCCTATAGGATTCTCTTAGGATTCCCATAGGATTCCCATAGGATTCCTTGGGATCCCTTAGGAACCCCTAAGGACCACATGGGACTCCTTAGGAATCCTTCGGAATCCCATAGGGTTTCTATCAGCTTCCCGAGGCATCCTATAGGATTCCTATAGGATTCCCATAAGATTCCCATCGGATGCCTTGGGATGCCTTAGGAATCCCTTAGGGATCCCATAGGACTCCTTGGGAATCCCAGTAGGATTCCTAAGGAGTCCGAGGGATGGGACGTTTAGGGACGACCACGGATTCTTCAGGATTCCTAAGGATCCCCAGGGAGTCCCAGGGATCCCTCAGGACTCCTAGGGATATCTAAAGAGCCCCAGGGATTCCTACAGAATCCTTAGGCGTCCTCGGGTTTCCTTTGGATTTCTAAGGGTTCCTTAGGAGTCTCAGGCATTCCCTGGGGTTCCTTAGGATTCCTCCGGATTCGTGAGGATTCCTAGGGATTCCGCACGATACCTCAGGATTCCGAGGCACTGCTTTGGATTCCTAGGGATTCGTTAGGATTCCATAGGTTTCCTGAACATGCTCTAGCATTCGTGAGGATCCCATCGGAGTCTTAGGGGTCCCTAGGGATTCCCTCGGATTCCCAGGGATGCTTTGGCATTCGTGAGGATTCCATCGGATCCCTAGGGATTCCCTAGGATTCCTAAGGATTCCTTAGCATTCGTGAGGATTCCGTAGGATTCCCATGGGTTCCTAGGATTCCTAGGGATGCCTTAGGAACCCCATGAGGTGTCACAGGATTCCTTAGGAATCCAATGAGATTGCTCAGGAATCCTCAGGAATCCCACAGGCTTCCGTCGGATTTCTATAGGCTTCCTCAGGAATCCGATAGGATTCCCATAGGATTCCCATCGGAATCCCATAAAATTCTTTGGGATCCCTTAGGAATCCCTTAGGGATCCCATGGGACTCATTAGGGATCCTTAGGAATCCCATAGGATTTCTATAGGCTTCCCTAGGCATCTTATAGGATTCTTATAGGATTC